CTCAGTAATTATCTAATTTTCTCATTGTATTAAGCTTTCAGAAGAAAATCATGTTGTTACGCATTGGAGTCCTTCTGAAAAAATTCTCTTACATTTTTATGCTATTGAAGTTTCTCAAGAAACATTGAGAGAAATTGAGAGAGAAGCTCTTAAATCTCATGATTACGGAACTGAGGTGAGTATTCAATCACAAAACTTCAATCATTTTGTAGTAAAAATATGTTTTTTATGAACTATTCCTTTTCTGCTTCAGGTCATGGGTACTTTTCGAGTTCCGCTATACACAATGTCTGATGGCCAACGAGGGTTTCCTACATTCTTACGTAACTCCTTTGTGGGGAATGCATATCATCAATTGAGGAGAGGTTTGTTGCAGTCATCCATTATGAGTGAAGAAGAAATCAGAACTGCTGAAGCTATATCCCAAAAGATGTTGCACTGACTTCAATCAATAGTTCCTTTACTAGATAGATTTCTCTATTATTTTCCTCAAACATTTCTTGAACTCTTGTTCTGTTATAACAATAACTAAATCCTATTTCTGTCATAGTTATGGTTATTTTAAATGGCAATATCAATTGTTTCATGCTGTAGTAGATTATATTTTATCTCTGTCCCATGGAACTGTTTATGTTAATATCTCACTTTTGAGATTGTGATAGGATTCCTGTGATTCTTGAATGTTCTGCCATTCCATTGTTTCTCAGTCTTAAACAATTCCAAATTATATATAGTGTTGAACTTGATGCATTAAATATCCACATTTATATGATTATATTTTTTTTCTGACACAATAAGGGTTTTACTTCAATTTTTTATTATCTATCTATTGTATTTACATCTGTACATGAAATAATCCAAGTGCATGAATGCTAATGAAGTTACTGAGCCATCAATTTGTTTTGATAAAATCAGTCATTACTTAATGATTTGTCAACAGGTGAATGTCACTGTCTATTTAGGATAACCTTTACTTTGAGTGACACAAGAAGTGAAAAATGTAGGACCAGAATCCAAGTTACAAGTCCTGTAACATCAGTCCAATAGTCAGCATTCAACATTCCAATATCTTCAAGGAATTGGGATGGTCTCTTCCAGTGACAGAAAGCTTGATTACATTTCAGAGGCTGGCGGTTCATTCCATAGATTGCTGTTACAATGCCTTCAAATCCATATCTGAAGTTTGACACATAAGAGAGCCATCTTAGGACGAGAGGAATATCCGGAATGTAGAGGAAAAATCCCGAAAATAGAACAAGAGGTATCGTGGATGCAGGTACAAGGAAGACACCAAGCTGTGAGAATCAAATGGAACAGTTCAAAACTAGAGATAGGAGAAAAACTGCACTAACCTACAGTATTCACTAAACTACACACCTGCATCCCAAGAGCAGCTCCAAACACCAGTCCGTAGGCGTGGGCCATGAGCACTGTCAGGAGGCACATAAGCCACACCATGCAGCGCCTGTCCTCGACGTTGGGCTGGTCCGTCATGTAGTACGCCACGAGCAGGAACACGGTCGGGTTAACTATCTGGATGGGACATACGAGTTAG